ATAACTCGAAAATTACGCAAAATTCCACCCCAAAGGCAGTGATTTTCGGAATCAGCGTGTTGAGAAGGCCCTGTGCACCAAATTTGAAGGCAATCGAGACGCCCCGCAATATCCAACTGTCAAATGGATATCAATCTGCTGCTAGATTGACAGGAGTCCGCGTCGCGCCGGCCGCCTGGGTGGCCGACCGGCCGCCCCGTACGGCCGTGTTGGGCAGCCCTCCCGCGTCCTCGGAGGCTTCTAGGGCGTACCGAAACGCTGCGATGCGCTGATGGGTACATCGGTGGTCTCCGATGGGTTCGCTCTGCAGCCTGCGGGCCGCAATGTTCTCATAATTGAATATGCTTCGAAAGTCGGAAAATTCACGGCGTTCTGCACGTGCACAGACTTCAATGAAAGATCAATCGTGACTCTTCATTCTGTTGCGACAACCGAGTGTTAGACGAAGCCACGTGTTTCTGAAATAGCTCCCTGGGCAATAAACCAATGGAATTGATAATTACAGCAATTTCCATTGACCTACCAACCGTCAGGTCTGAAGGTCAGACCGAGGTCAAAAGCAACTTGCATTTTTACTCGAGAGCCTGCCTACTGGGATAGTTTCTGAAGCTCATTTCGAATCTAATAATGACGGGGACCGCAGCAGTCATGTTCCAGGGGAATTTTTAGTGATGGGCAGGTCACTAACGTAATAAGATTTAGGTAAAAACTTTGTTCCCGAAACATGCTGCCAAGCGTCATCCTTGACGCTGGTTTGATTAGCAAAATAGCAGCCATTTCGTAGGTTTTGGTCACATTGATCTTTCTAATGTCAAGCAAGGTCACTAACCTTGATTGAACACAGCTGACCTTTCGCTTAGAACAGGCGATGGCATGAGGAGGTCTGGGGGCACGTCGGACACCAATTTGGAGTTTGGCCTTGTTTGACCTCGTATGACCTCAAGGTCATGACCCGTGTAGTATCCGGTCGGCTCTTGCTGTCCGCCCAAACACTAAGTCAGGTGTTACCGTGAGTATTTGCCCAATACTTTGGTGAAAACAACAAAAGCAATAATATAACGTCCGAGGCGTCCGAACACGCCGCGCCCCCGCCACGCGCTACCACCCAAGGCCAACTCTCTCGCGCCATCCACTTACCTGGCGCGTAGGCGCCCTAAACAACTGCCATATACCACAACCCGTGAACCTCAAATTTTGAAGAAAGTGTGCTTTCATATACCGGTCAACCTACCCTGGTTATCTCATTTTTTAGATATCAAGGAGTCCAATTGACACCCACCTGAGTGAAAGGTATTCAACCGGCCTCCCGGGCGTGTGCTAGATAATCTAAATCCTCTCGGGCGTATGCTTAAGTTCTGTCCGGTTTTCGGCGACTTTAAGTTGCATCCCCGTAGTCATAATTAAACGTAAAAAGTATTCAGTCGGTTGTTAATTGTATTGATATGGAGGCACGTCTTCCCATTTAAAGCCAGTGTAACAGAGGCAAGGGTGATATCTGATGATGATACAGACATTGATGATGATGATTATAATAGTGGATATAGCGATGCGTTTGGGACCTAGTGAAGCAGCAGTAAAGGCACTTGCTGCATCTCATTGGCCAAAATCTCCTCTTTTTTTGCTCATATGCAATGAGCGTCTCGGAAGACCATTGAGAGGCTTAACACGCGCCCGGGTGGCCGATTGGATACCGTTCGCTCGGGTGGAGGTCAGTTTGACCCCATTGAGATCTCAGGAACTAAGGGAGCTAGAAACACCAAATTTACAGGATGTATTGACCTGTCCGTGAACTGACTTTGCCCAGAGTTTGATATTTCTAGGTTATGACCTTCGCTCAAGTAAGGTCAAATAAAGTCGAATTTCAGGTTGTTTTCCAAAGGGCCTCTGGAACCTAGATAACTCTTTTTAACAAAAGACCACATTCTCATCTTAGGTCAGTGACCTCGACCGCTTTGAGCTTTACAGCTGGGTAAGCGACGGAGATTGCGCTAGGCGGTATGTTCCTTAAGAAGTGCTTACTTAGGTCATTCTAGGCCAGTGTTCTATTCCGACCTTTAAGAAGTCCGTGGAAGTTGTATAATGTGGTTCCTGTTATCAATAAATTCGAAATGAAGACCAGAAGCTACCCTATACAGCAAGCCGTAGAGTAATAAAGCAGGTTGATCTTGACCCTGGTCTAACCTTTATACCTGGCCTTAGGTCAACGTAATTTGCTCATTTAATTGTTGTGTCGCCTAAGAAAGCATCTCAGAGATGTATGGCTTCGTCTAACGTTTCATTGTTGGATCAGATTGAAGTATTCCGTAGAAACTACATTCGCTAAAACCATGTCATCACTTTGACCTGCCATAGGTCAGCAACCTTACAAGGTAGATCTAACTTGTTGATGTCAGACGATCTGCTACTTCATTGACTAAAGCTATGCAAAATTTGGCGCGGCTACGCCGCGTCGTTCAGAAACAATTCTGGAGAAACCTTCAGGGGGTCAGTTTGACCCCCCACCCGAGCGCGTTTTGAGTGAGCGTCGGAGGGGGGGGGGCAAGGTTCCCCCGAAAGTAAACAAAGTGACGTCCATAGATGTCGAGTCAATCAAAATTGACATAACATCGGTTCAGAGCAGTGTGAAAGCAGGCCTTTAACACATGAACTTTATGGGCTAGTAGGAAAGCTGCGCTGTCGGGCGGCTGTGCTACCAAAGTGCTGGAGAGTGGGAGGGGGGGGGGGAACTTCATCATGACTTGCCGTGATCATTGCAATCAACTCTTGCCCTAAGGCTACATGGTAATGATGAAAGGATGAACAATGATCGAGTTTAGCGATGAGCTATGGTACTAGAGATCTCCTAGATGCACAATCAGGGGATAAAATTTCAGTTTCCATAATTATGTAGTGCTCTGAAATAGCATATAGCAAGGCGTAAACGTCTTAATGGTTATTTGCACAACTGCACTTCAATCAGGGACGGATCCAGGCTTTCGTCAAGTAAGAGTGACCACGCATCATTGAGTTAGATAGGCCACTAGAGTTTGGGGCCCCCTCCAAAAAAATATCCTTGCATTCCTGTCATTTCATGTTAAGACAAAGAGTAGGTAGCATTTATATATATATATATATATATATATATATATATATATATATATATATATATATACATATATATACATATAGGAGGCCAAATTGAAGGTAGTTATTGAAAGTTCCTCGAAACTTGCATTTTCCGAGAGCACCAAAATCCGGGTTGCACTACAATTGGTTTTCCTTCCACTATGATAAAGTCCCGGATCAACCCCTTCGGCGAAGGGTTATCAAAGAGCCAAAAGCTCCATTTTGGGGCATTGTGGCTTTTATTTTCAAGAGACACACAATTACAGGCGGCACCATGAATGGCGCTAATACCTTCATTTTAATATGACCATGAATTCCAGGGACACCAAAAATGCCCCCAAATCTGTATTCTTGACTATGAATTCAAGTTCCAAGAACGTCACTATCAGAGGCGCACACTGGGGGGGGGGGGGGGAGGGGCAGCAGGAGAACGTAGCCCGCCCTTTGGTCCGGATGTCCGAAGATCTCAAGAAGCCCTTTGAGCTCATTGTGGCCGACGACGAAGGACCCCATTGGAAGATCCAAAGGTCTGGCCGGAGACCATATAAAAGCATCCCAGTCCGAAGGTCAGGCCCTCAGAGTCGGTCAGAGTATCTCTTGTACCGATTGGAGGCCCTCAGGGACATTGAGGGCCTCTATCCCAGTCAGCTGACTGAGGCTATCAATATCAAAGTGTCAGCTCCGTGCCCAGCTGCGCCCTGGCGGCATCTTTCCTAAGCAGTGACAAGATCTCGTCGCTGCCTTCTGACTGGCGGCTGCAAAGGCCAATCAGGAGGCCTCCTGCGTCGGTTAGGCCCCTGCCGTGGTGCAGGGCCCCTTGTGCTAGACAGGGCCCACAGCGTTTAGAGGGAGTCTCCCACCTTTGCAACAGATTTTAGAAACATTCTGTGGTGAAATCTCAGGGCCAGTTGCGTTTACTAAAAACACTGGGTAGTGTCATTGCGGCACCATCAAGATGTAATGAGGATGATTATTTCCATTATTTTCTTTACAATTTACGCTGTCGTGTTTCAAGCTTATTTAGAATGCATTAGACAAACTTAAGATGAATTAGTGTATTGTAGACATTACCGAGCACGCACCATGGAAAAAGCAAGGCAAATGGAAGGTACTATCTTCATAGTGGTGAACAGGGAGTCCAATGACACTTTTCTCGCCGGAGCGACTGCTTCAAACAAAAATTATAAGCTTTTCAGAAGGATTTCAAGAGAAACGATAATCTCGATCAAGTTAGACGCGTCTGATCTAACAGTGCGTGAAAAACACAAAGATGGCATGCTTCCTTTTAAAGGGCGCCTTGTAACGGCAATGAGCCTCAGGTCTGCCAGAGGCACATTTTCTGAATACGAACAGAGATCGGACCCCTTATTTCAAAGCGTCTCTTGCGTTGGTTGTGGGCATCTTGACACACTTAAATGAGATTTGAGAAATGACGATGCCAAGGTTCTCATCCATAGGGGAGGCCCTGTGTCAGTCAGAGGCCCCAGAACCAAGCGCGGAGACCTCCATACCGTTTCGACGTGGGACTTATAAGCCAAATCGGTGTATCGGTGCCAATTACTGAAATCCCTGCGCCGGTGAGGGATCCTTCCGCATCAGTCAGCGGAAGTCATCAGTCATCATCAGTCATCAATCCGGTGTCAGATGCCCTGGCCAGAGGGCCTGCCGCATCAGGTCTCTGGCCCCCCTGGCTCCTGATCGATGCGGGCCTGCGTGTCAGGACACTAAGTGTCCCGTATAAGCAGGCGCTGGGGGCCGCGGGCGGGGACGTAATGGCCTTCAGCATTGAGCGCCTGCCGCGCAGCCGCTAACCGATCTCTCATTGGACGAATGCCTGTCTACGTCATTCTGCCTATCGCACCTGCCGCGCCGCCTCTAATCGATCTCTCATTGGACGAATGCCCTTCTACGTCATCCTGCCTATCGCACCTGCCGCGGCGGTAACATCGACCGAATGTTACCTGTGTGAGCAAAGCCTATCTTTTCGGAGCGCGGCGAATGGCCAACCACAGAGCAACGGGCCCGTGACATGGGTGACACGCGCGAACTCCGTAACGAGGGGGTAGGTGTTCCGTGACTCGGTGGGCGTCGGCAGTCCAGTGACAAAACGTGGGTAGAAGACGCGGAATTTTTTCAACATTTTCGAGCTTCGAACGCGCGTCGATCGTGATAATCCACCAGCACTTAAGTAGGCGCATTTGCTGAGGAGGTCCCATGGAGCTTGGCCAGGGAAGCATATGCTGACGACGGATAGCGACAGGGGCTGGACCTGAAGTGTCGGAGATCCGCTCACTTTGCCTGAGCCCTCTGACAATGCCAGGAGATATCAATCAATCTTAGATCTACTTGGACATGCGAAATCCAACATTCACGGTGGCGAGGAATCTGGTTGCCTTGTTCTTTTTCCAAACGCGCCCGACAGCTCACGGCACGTGTTGGGTGACAGCTCACGGCACGTCTGTCACGTGCTGTGTCTGTCACGTGCTCTCTGACTGTGGGCGGTACGTCTGTCACTAATGTTGTAACCAGATATTTGTGTTATGAACCAGGCGTCTCTGCTATGAGCCAGATGTCTTTGAGCCAGATGCTCTGAACCAGATGAACGCCAATTACAGCTGGCGTGACGCCCATAAAGCGATCATTATCCGTCGCCTTTGGGAAGAAGAATCTTTCAATGTTTGCAGGATATTCGAAAAAGTTTAAATTGGTCACAAAAAATCTTAGCATCCTGAAATTCATGGTTCCAAGATATCCTAGAGAAACCTTGAGAGAAGCGGACGCACCGAAGCCCTTGGGCCGGTAAGCGGGCGGCTGGTTTTGTCTTCCGAAATGATCCCCGCTTATACAGGCTTTCTCTGTCAGTAAAGGTCTTCTCTGTTGCATGAAGCAAAACTTCTTGCCTTGTTGACCCTAAGCGTCTTTCTCTTGACTCTTCACATCTCTCTGTCGGCTTAAACTTCTTGCCTTGTTGACTCTTAACTGACTTGCCGACTAGCTGACTTGTTAACGTCCGAACTTCAGCACCCGTGGCAGTTTCGTTGCATTGTCTGCATGTTCTCGTCTCATCTTATTCCAAGGTATCGCTGCCATCGACACGTGCTGGTGCTATTCGAGAGAGTATGACGCTCTGTATTTCAGGTTCTCACAGGGCTGCGCACGTGCTGGGCAGACGATGGCGGCGTCTCTTGCTGCTGCTGCTGGTACCAGCCTGTCTCATATATGTGTTCTACGACTCTCTGGAGCCCCACTTCATGGCAGTGGGGTGGCTGGTGCAAAACCGCTACTGGCACCAGTGGTTTTATCGGGCACCGGAGCTGTCCAGCGACCTGGAGAATGCCAGTCTGGTCCTCTACTGGACGCCGGCCTTCCACGACGCCGCTTTTAATGGCTACGGCATGAAGCCATTCGCGCACTGTCCAGTACGTCTTAGCTTTACGAGGTGTAATTTTAGCTTACCAGCCGCGTTACGAGATTGTCTCGTACGTGAAAGGACAACCGGCGAGATTTGTAAGGCGGTGACGCACACCGCGTCATGCGATGCATGTTGGTGTATGTGCTGTGAGCTGCCATGTGTGTGTGTGTGTGTGTGTTGTGTGTGTGTGTGTTTGTGTTGTGTGCAGGTGACGACAGACAGGATCACGCTCATTTGGGCTAGCTTAAGCGTGAGCTTGCGTTTCTTGCGAGGAAATTTGACCATTTACATTTAACGGTCACTTAAAGTAAAGGTAGAGCTTCCACCGGTGACGTTTTTACTATGCGATGGGTCTCTGATATTGTTTTTACGACAGAGACCCCCGCATACCATAAATTTGTGTCGTTGGTTAGGCTCTCGTGGTGGCCAAAGTATAACACTGGATAAACAGGTCTATTAGTTGATTATCCTTGTTGGATATGTCGCGCTTGGTTTCGAATGTCCGTACATTCTTACATGACCTCCCCATATTTACAGGTCAACAACTGCGTGGGCACCAATGACCGGCGCTACCTGTCGCGGGCGCGAGCGGTGCTCTTCCACGGCGCCGACATCAGCATGTGGGACGTGCCTCCTGAGCGGACGGTCGACCAGCTGTATGTGTTCTGGTCCCTCGAGTCGCCGCCGATGCTGAACATGGCGTTCGGCGCCCTCAACTCGGTCTTCAACCTCACCATGACGTACCGGCTCGACTCGGACGTTGTGTTTCCGTACTTCGAGGTCATCCGCCGCAACCGCTCGGCAACGGTCGCGCCTGCAGCGGCGGCCGGACCGACAGCGAGCGGCGCGCCGACGCTGCCGGCCGGGCCGGAGCCGACCGTCGCCTGGTTGGTGTCACACTGCACCACGCCCAGCCGCCGAGAGCAGTATGTGGCTAAGCTCCAGCGCTACCTGCCGGTGCACGTGTTCGGCGCGTGCGGCACGCGGGAGTGCGGCGATCCCGCAAAGCGGCGCGACACGCTGACCTGCTTCCGCGAGCTGGTCGGCAACTACACCTTCCTTCTGGCGTTCGAGAACTCGCTGTGCCAGGACTACATCACCGAGAAGCTGTTCCATGCGCTGCAGGTCGGCCTCGTGCCGGTGGTGCGCGGCGCGCCGCGCGCCTCGTACGCCGCCGTCGCGCCGCCCGACTCGTTTGTGCACGTGGACGACTTTGCTGGCCCACGGGAGCTGGCCGCGCACCTGCACCACCTGGCGCGAAACGCGTCGGCGTTGGCGCGCCTCACTGCCTGGCGCGACAGCTTCACGGTGCGCCCGGTTAGAGGGCTGGTGTCGCCTGTGCGCACGGATGCTGCAGCCGGACGGGCCGGTGCCGGCGCGGTACGACGACCTGCGCCGCTGGTGGAACGACGGCTCGCACTGTCGGTCCTAGCTCCGTCCGTGGACTGACCTGCTGCGGTGGCCGGCGAGTGGCTGCCACACGGGTTCGGGTACCGACAGGGGCCTGGGAGCCCGGGATCCCAGCCCATCTCCCTCCAAGGGACCTCACTCCGATGCGTGTCGCGGCGCGTGCTTTACCAGCGCATGCCTGCAGCTCCGAGAGCAATCTGACATGCGCAGAAGTCATAGCTTACTTGATGTACCAAAGGTCACTCGCATCCACGCGAGTACACTCATGGGTGCCACCACGTCTCTAAGACAAAGGTGCGAACCATAGCTGGGGGGGGGGGGGGGGGGTAAATAAACTGGAATCTGGAGTGAACAACCGGACCTCAAGATGATATTTTCACTGGGCAAGCGTGACACACGATCATTTGTGCAAACCTGTGGGACAGAATGCCGCTTTGTGAAGGCTAGAGGGGACTAACCGCACTCTTCCCAGTGGTTACCCCCATGGCCGCCTGTGGGACGCAGCTACGCGTCGGCACGCCCCGGCCGGCGGCGTGCTGCTCCTATGGAGACTGATACACTAGCGGTGCGTGCCTGAGGCTAGATAGGCTCACTTCCGTCCTGCCTGGTGTAGCACTGAACCGTGCCGTTCATTTGTTATCGCTGACGGATTTGTTCTCAGCTTCACACAGTCATGTGGGCGCCTGCGTCGTATTTCACAATGGTTGTACATGTTCGGGCGTAATAAAGGATTGAGACGAGACATTGACATCACGGATGAATTCGGAGTGTCGTTCTCGTTTGGCGTGTCGTTACACAGCGTTTCGGCCAGTTAACTCTCTGGTCGTCGGCAGGCGCCTTGAAGTCCTGAGAAGGACTGAATGACGCTTGGCTGCCGCCACGTCCGCATCACAGCCCAAATGATCTCCTTAGCATCGCTGAGAGTTGAACCAGGGTCTTTTCGATTGCGGGTCCAGTGCTCTATAACGTCCTGATTGGTCCTCCCCATTCGAGTTCAGCCGTTCTCAGGACTCCATAACAGCTGGCGACGGCCGGACAGTCCCTGGGCGAGACGTTACCTCACTAACGCCGGGGGTGTCACTCCCTACGACCGTTCGGGAGAGGGGCTGAGTCCATAAGGTGGCCTAAGCTACATCTAAGATGATTCCTCCTCGGATTTCGGTCACTTCAGTTGGCATCCCCGGGGCTGAATGTAAAAGCAAAATGCCGATGACGACATTAAGTTTCCGCGAAAGACTTCGACTTCAAATTTCCAGGCAATGCAAGTTGCAATTTTTATGGACAGCTTAGAAGCGGGTGTAGTTCAAGCAGAAATGCCTCTGAATTAAGTTCTTGTGTTGAATTTGGTGGTGATTCCAATAGCGTTCAAACTGCGGTGGCGTTCGAAGGACCTTTTAATGGCAGGACGTAAAACGTTCACGAGCTACATGTTATATGAGCCCGGCTGTACTTCTTATGGCCGCCGCATGTCACAGTAAATTATGCTTTCCTCAATTCAAGTACTGGCATGTGAAATCAGTTGCAGACAGGCATAAATATGAGGGGGATGGCATGACAAAACCATTGGATACGTATAGGATGGTTTTTGGTAGAAGATAGCTAAGACAATTTGTTTGCACTTCTTTGGTCGAGTATTCCGTTTTTGGTCATATCCATTGAGGGGGGAGGGGGCCAAGTCAGCTTTGGCTGGTGGATGGGCGGAGCCCCTCCCCCCCCCCCTTGACTAGCACACCAGGCGGGGACGAAATTGCGGACAATTATTCCAACCGCAGTTCTACATATATTGAGACTGGCACGGCGAAGCACCACAATTTGACCCTAAAACGACCCTGGGCTACTTAACTGCAGCAAGCAATGGTGTCCATCGCGATCAAAAGCGCGGGATATTCGGCTGAAATGTCGTGAACATCGACACCTCTCAGCGCGCGTGTTCAGGCGCGGCGATGCCACATCTGAGTCCCGAGTGACGCGTCTGGAGCGTGGGCACCAGTCGGCAGAGCTGGGAGGCGTGCTGACCCCGGAGCCGGCTCGGGCGACAGCCCTGGTCTGCTGGCGCGGGCCGACATGCATGTAAGCGGGAGAAGGAGCCGCGAGTCACCGGCAACACGACCTGGGGAGCTGCCTCGCCTCAGTGTTTGGGGGAGCGCGGAGGCGTGCTGACCAGGGGGCTCTCCTTCCTCTTATTTTCCCTCCAGGCATAATATAGTCTAGGGCCAGCCCTCAGGAGCATTGCATTGGGATCATGTGAGGCCCAAGCACAGTTGTTGTGGGTATACATGTACCTTGGGTGTATGCTGTTGACAATGAGCATTGTGTGGGGAGCATGCCAGGCCTGGGCACGGTTGTACGTAATCAGTGTTGTGGGGAGTGTACATGCCATTGGCTTAGGGTGTGCTTGGAAAAGCACAGTTTATCAGTGTTTGTTAGTGAGGGGTTGAGGGGGAGGGGGAGAACACTGAAGCATGTTAAGGTGAAGGTCACCAACAGCAGTAACATTTGATATTAGTCCCATGTTGTACAGAAAAAAATTATTCAAACGTGCTGCCACTGTGATTGTTCGTTCCCTTTCACACCGGCCCGTGTGAAGCCGCCTGTCAGTCCTTTCACACAGGTTCGTGTGAAGCTGCCGATCAGTCCTTTTCTTTTCCGAGAACAGAGACCGAGAACCATAGGACATTGCATCTCAGTAACTGATTCCTTGTTTTGTGTACAGTGACGGGTATGCTTAACCTTCAGGGGTGTGTAGATCACAAAACTGAAGATGGTTTTGACTCATCGGAAGGCGGAGATACCGGCCCATCTTATATTCTGCCAGGTCAGCAGGTGTATATGTGTGGTGGCGTTTGTCTGTGCTGCCTTCACCCTCCCCCCCCCCCCCCCCCTCCCCTCCGCGTCGCCATTGTAGTGCAGTCTCATTCGGCAACCGTCTTCAACTAGACGCATGCAATGGCTGTGGGTGCTATCCGATGTTGGCATCGACTCTGACGTCACTGACTGGTGCGACATTCAAAGTTCAGGCCAAAGTTGGCCAGTTGGAGGCTGAAACAGCCAATTTACGCGGCTGTCTAGCCTTTCGCATGGCTAGAAATATCGCTCCTGGACCTGGACTTCGTGTGTGTCGCAAACGCTGTTGAACGTCGCCCCATCTCACACTGGTGGTAGTGTAGACGTCTGGCGTTCTAACATGTCACACGGATCGCGACACTATCGTTATGTGCCGTCACAATCCCTCACACTAACTGTAGTGATGGGGGCAAAACACTTTGCCATCAGTGGCGAAAGTCTGAATACGACCCAAGAATCGCACAGGGTGTTGCGGTGAACGCTTGGAAGTGTTTGTGGTATGTTAGGAATTCCGAAATCGGCAGCGTTTTATCGCTACCTTTAAACGTCCGGATACATTTGCCAGATCAAAAGCGATTTGATAAGCAGAAAAGTCGTTGCAATCAGCACTGAAGTCTTTACAGACATAGAATGCACGGCTTATGTGGCACATCATGTCCTGTTCCGATCGGACAGAAAGCATGTTCTTACCATGTCTTTATGTAGCTGAAGAGCCATTGTTGTAGCAAACTCGTGCTACCCGGGTTAGCTCCATCCAAATTGATTGCTGAAGGGAAACGTCGTCGTTCATCTTGCCAAATCAAAGCGAACGGAAAATTGGGCTGTGTTACTCTGAGTTAGAGCCGACGTCGATCTCATTTACTGTGATTCGGAGTCAGAATCGATAACGCGAAATCAAAATTATCAGCGGAATGACGCCACGTGTGAGTGTGGGACATTATGAAATCTGGCTCATTTTGCCCATTTATTTTTTCTGCCTATAGTTCCAACCACGACAGCACTAAGGGAGCGTATAGAAGTCGAAACGAAGGATGTCGTTGACCTAGTACCGACGAACCAGTGTTTATCCTGCCAGGTGAACATATAACTGTCATGTGTGCGTATGTGTGTATGTGTGGTATATGAGTGTATGTGTGCATACGTAGTATGTGTGTGTGTGTGTGTGTGTGCATGTGTGGTATATGTGCGTGTGTGTGCGTATCAGTGCACGTGTGGTGTGTGTTGGCGTATGTGTGCACGTGGTATGTGTGCGAATGTGTGCATGTGTGGTATGTGTGATGTGTGTGCGTATGTGTGCATGCGTAGCATGTTTGCGGAATTTATTTGCGTATGTGCCCATGTATAGTACGTGTGCGTAGTGTGTGCATATATGCGCAAGCGTGGTATGTCTGCATGTGTGATATGTGTGCGCATGTGGGCATGTATATGTGCATGTGTAATATGTGTGCGGAGTGTGTGCGTATATGCGCATGTGCGGTATGTTTGCATGTGTGATATGTGTGTGTATGTGGGCATGTATATGTGAATGTGTAGTATGTGTGCGGAGTACATGTGCGTATGTGTGCATGTGCGGTATGTTTGCATGTGTGATATGTGTGTGTATGTGGGCATGTATATGTGCATGTGTAGTATGTGTGTGGAGTACATGTGCGTATGTGTGCATGTGTTGTATGTGTGCGGAGTGTGTGCGCCCACGGATCGCTCCGCCGTGGCCAGCAATCTGGCCCGTCAAGCTCTGAGAACGTGAACCGACGTTAGCATGCAAACGTAGTACGATCAGAAGTCATTCATAACTTTGTCACCGGCGATGCTCCCGCGATCGAGTCGGACCCGCTGCCGGCTCTTGAGCGGGACATCCCGGCCATGCCTGGTGCCTCGACGTCGGGTAAGGCTCGGCCATGCCTGGTGCCTCGACGTCGGGTAAGGCTCGGCGCCGGCGGAAACACCGGTCCTCCGCATGCGGATTGGTTTTATTGTGAGTGGGATGGAGGGCTGGGCGGGTCATAGCCTCACGCAAATTGAGCGGAAATTGTGGATCCTCAGCATCCTGGCACGTTCAGGTTCAGCTTGTGTTAGCAACTGCGTCAGAGTGGCCTGCTTAATGAAGTATCTCGAGCACTCAATCTGGCATGTAAATCAGAGCCAAACTAGAAGCGTATGAAACTTAGTTTGACACCAGGAGCTTGCGCAACAAACGCCCGTAATATGCAAATGCTGCATTAGCTGCGGGCCTGAAGAGGATGCATTTATCACCCATCGCTGGCTGGCAATGCACGTTGTTCGCCTGCCCGGTTCTGTACTGATGTTCCTCTTGGCCGTCAGGCCGCAATAACGCCGTTGTTGGTTTACAATTTCTGGGATGCTGAAGCGCCGGAATGAGTCATGCTAAACCTGCTGACGTCATCTTACTTTTGAGTGGTCAGCTTCCAATTATCGCTAGATGTGGATGCCGTCTAAAAATGCTTTGTTTCAAGGTACTTCCTCGCTCGCCTGTCGCCACTGCGGTATCGAGTGCGGAGGTCGAGAGGATCTGACAAAACACGTGGCACATTACCACCGAGCCGAGAGGCAGTCAGGCATCGAGCCACACGGCCGCCGAATTGTTGGTGATATGCGATTTCGCTTTAACAGCATCATCAAACATCGCAAGACCGGCGACGGCAAGAAACCGTGCACGTGCACGAGAAGCTTTCGCGAGAGGTCTTTTCGTGCGAAGACCAACAAGGACCGTGGCGTTGGTAGTCGCGCCGGTGCCCAGCGTCTGGTCTGTGCAGTGCGCGAGAGGTCGTTCAATGGCCGGCACGGGCTTGCAGCGCACATTTACAGCCTGATCGGTGAAGAGATGTTCAGGCGCGACCTATGCGGCGCGTCGTATCGTCACCGCTACGGCCCGGCTTGCCATGTCCGGATCCATACCGGAGAACGCGATCATCCGCGCTGTGAGGTCCTGCAGCAGGCTGTTTACCTGGCGCATGTCCTTCGCCAAACACGGGCTACATTGCCGTC